AGCAAAACATACAGAGGATAGACAAGCACCAATATGGGAGAAGCCCAGTACAGTCATACCTCGGGTTAAATATGCTTCGGGAGGAATATTTTCGGGTTGCGCTCCGCGGCGACCCGGAAGTAACAGGGAGCATTACCTCCGGGTTTCGCTGCTCGTGCATGCGCAGATGCTCAAAATGACGTCACGCGCATGCGCAGCAAATTGCGACCTGCGCACGCACAGACGCGGGTTGCATTCGCTTCAGAATGCGAACGGGGCTCCGGAATGGTTCTTAACCTGAAGTGCGATTTCACTAATGGGGCCTCCTGCTGCCACCACGCGCTGGTGCGTGACATTTGCTTGCATCCCGGGGCAAAGTTCCCAACCAGGAGCATCTACTTCCGGGTTAGCGGAGCTTGTTACCCAAAGTGTTCGTAAGGAGGACGGTACGTAACCCGAGGTTCCACTGTATGGGGAACCTTTGGCCCTCCAGATGTTGTTTATCTGCAACTCCCATCACCCTTTGCTTCCGGCCATCTTTGTTGGAGCTGATGGGAGTTGTAGTTCGGCAACATCTGGAAGGCTAAAGCAACAAATGCAAAACTGACTGTTGGGGGAAATAACTTTGAAACACACAATTCTAAAAATGATTCATTTTGAACTGAATATGATCGACTCGTTAACATATTTTCATGTTTGCCCTGCCAACAGTTATTTAAATTCTACTGGCCTCAAATCCCCAGCAAAATATGAAATGGTAATCAAAACATTAAGATCAACACAATGATTAATTCGTTCTTCCCTTCCCCACATTGTGCACTGACTTGTAGCATCTCTTGGAGTATGGTGTTTATTTGGGGCAGATTGCCTCTAGAAATGAATTGCATTTCAATAGAACCACCCATTTTAATCAACAGACAGAAAGACTACTAAAAATATTTAAAACAGTGTTCCCATTTTGTGCCATCTTTATCATGCTTGAATGCATTGTGCAGTTTGAGACTTCTGATTTTATGTTTTATTCCATGCGCTACTAGAAGACTATATAAGAAATGTTTTCCCCACCCCAATTCTGCAAATAGGCTTCCCATTGATGCACAATGCTTTACAGTTACACATTTCTGGAATACAAACTTAATTTATAACCAGATGATACAAATTTCAATGTGCTTCATTTTGGCTGGATCATGCCCTTCCTCTTTTATGACTCATTATGCTTTTTCTTGCTTGCCTGATTATATTCCTGATCTTGAAACTTTCTAAGTCATGCCAAGTGGAACATCACTGATGGCACATCTCATACCTCTGACCTTAAAATGATGCATCTTGGTTGTTTGGAATTCAAATAGCTTGATTCCTATAACCTTATTTAACATAACTTATGCTGTCTGCAGCTCTAAAGGCATATAAACCATAGCATAGGCATGTTATAGTATCTATAACAAGGAAATGGTAGAAATGTTTAAAAATTGAAGGGATTATACACAACATATCCATATTAATTTTACATGACTGTAAGGATGAATCTTGTCTCACTGGTCTATGGCTTGTGGACATGCCTTTTTTGTACACATATGTCCATTTGGACATATTCTGATGTAGCAAATTATATCTTTTGGGGATCAGATCTTGGTTGACATTATTCGAAGGCCAGAATATGAAAGCCCCAGCTCAAAAATGTACTGGAAAAAAGAAAAAGGGGAAATTGCTTTTATATGCATTATGCCTACATATTTAAATATGGCAAAAGAACAGTAAAATTCTAGCTCAAGAAAGCTGAGGGCAAATAGTAAGATACAATTGATTTTATCAGAGCTTTATGTGACCCACAGCAACCCAGAAGGCCAATATTGTTATTCTAGGCCAGGCATCCCCAAACTCGGCCCTCCAGATGTTTTGGGACTACAACTCCCATTATCCCTAGCTAACAGGACCAGTGGTCAGAGATGATGGGAATTGTAGTCCGAGTTTGGGGGTGCCTGTTCTAGGCAGACCCTCCCTTGAAGAAATCTCCCCAAATTCTGATTCTTCAGAAATGCATGGCTATGAGAATAATGTAAGTAAACAAGCATACCATGAATTTCCTTACTGTTCAGTGTGGTGTGTGTTTTTTAAAAGGAAACAAGATAATTCAAAGTGTCAGCAGATCACAAAAGTTTTTAATTACATACCTAAGTAGTCACATATGCTCATATTCCATTAGCAAAAAAATATTGTCAGCGAGAGCCTTGACATCTTATATCAACAACTCCAGCAGCGGATTATTCTTGCCTGTGTTTTGTTTTGTTTTTTCCCCTCACAGCACCGGAGAAGGATGCACATTTTATCTTATGCAAATTAAACAGATTTTTAAAAATTAAAATCCCTCTGGCATACCAATTAGAGTCACCAAACTGGTGGTGTGCTGCTGCTGTTTACTGTTATATAGTTCCCCCTCCCCCCCCCCAAAAAAAACCTATTTGGCCAATTAGCAACTATATTTACAAAACGGTAGCTGTCATAAATGTTGAATATTTGATGGCCTGAAGTCATTACATGCTCCTATGTGGCTGCCTCAAATCAATATGGAATCCTAAATGTTACTATAAAGCAGTAAATGCACGAGAAAGAACAGAGAAAGCAGGCTCGGAAATAATCCCCACCGTTTGCAAAAAAAAAAATGTGCTAAGAGACAGAGCTTCCCCTTAAGCCACTGGTTATCAACCAGTGGGCCGTGACACCCAGGAGTGCTGCGATTGATGGTCAGGGGTGCTGCAGGCAACCCTAGCCTCTTTCTCTCTCTCTTTCTTTCTTTCCTTCTTTCCCTCCCTCTTCTGATGCCCTCTCGCGTCTCTGCCTCGCAAAGGCTTGCACAGCTGTTTGCTGCAGCAGCCCTGGCTACAAGCTCCCCAGGTGAATGGTGCCTCTGGGACTGACCAGGGGGTGCTGGTTGCCAGGAGCTGAGGCAGCTCAGAGACCAGGGGGTGCTGCGGAGGCTGCCCAGAGGACTCCCAAGGAGAGGGGAGAGGAGAGGAGGCTGAGGGAGCACTCCACAAGGGAGGGTGTTCAAAAAAGGGTGAGAGGCTGCCAGCTCAGCAGGCAAGGGATGACATAACTGGGCTCCTGAGCCCCACAGGGGTGCCACAGAAAAAGTGTAGTTGGTCAAGGGAGACGTGGACTCAGAAAGGTTGAAAACCTCTGCCTTAAGCAGGTGGGAAAGCTTTGAGACATGCCACACGATCCTATGCAGGTCTACTCAGAAACAAACCCCACAAAGCTCAAAGGAAATTCCTCTGGCAAATGCATTTAGGATTGCGGCCCGAGGCCTTGCTCCAAACTGCATAGAGGCACCTTCTGCGAGCAGAGGGAACCTCACACAAGATGCCTCCATTCAGCAATTAAGTACAGTGGTACCTCTGGATACGAACAGGATCCTGAAGCGAATGTAACCTGTGTCTGCGCGTGCGCAGGTTGCGATTCGCTGCTTCTGCGCATGCGCATAACGTCATTTTGACCGTCTGTGCATGCGTGAGTGGCGAAACCCATAAGTAACGCATTTCATTACTTCCGGGTCGCCACGGGGCGCAACTGGAAAATCTTCACCCTGAAGCAATTTCAACCCAAGGTATGACTGTATAAGCTTTTCTGCTGTATCAGCCCCACTGAGCAGTGCCTCCATTCTCTAGCCACCATGGCAAGGTTGGCCCTATCATTAGGCAGACTGAGGCATAAGAACATAATAAGACACAGCAGGAAGGAAGGCAGAGGGAGAGGCAGAGTGTTGGTGCTGACCTTTAAAGCCCTAAGCAGCCTCAGCTGAGTATACCTGAAGGAGCGTCTCCATCCCAATCTCTTGGTGGTTCTCCGAGGGTCTTATGCTGGTTCCCTCACCAGGTGAAGGGCCTTCTTGGTAGTGGTGCCCTCCCTGTGGAACACCCTCCCTTCAGATGGCAAGGAGATAAAGAACTACATAACTTTTAGAAGACATCTGAAGGTAGTTCTGGATCGGGAGGTTTTTAAAACTTGATGTTTTTATTATGTTTTTATATATGCTGTAAGCCGGCCAGAGTGGCTGGGGAAACCCAGCCAGATGAGCAGGGTATTATTATTATTATTATTATTATTATTATTATTATTACAAATACAATTACATATACTTAAACTTGGTTACACTTTGGAATTGACTCTAAAGGGTTTCTGTTAATGTTTGTAAGATTTAACAACAAAATAGGTACAGATTCTTATGTAAACTACTCATTTAGGAACCCCATGTCTATACCACAAAAAGTGCACTTACCAATAAAAAACAAAAAATCCCACACAGAATTTCGCATCCGTACTGTTACCAAGGAAACTACTTTTGTTATCCACAGGTTGCACCAAGTCCGCTACAGTTGGCTTATCACTCACAAACAGGTAGACGAGTGCTCAGGAAACAGAGACGATTTCTCTTCCTCTCCAGATTCTGTGAGCCCACATTCAAAAGAAAATAATTGGAACAATCTATAAAAGCAGTTTGCATTTGTTGGGAATGTATAAGTGTGCTACTTTATTGTGTTGTGTTAATTAGAGTTGGAAGTATTTGGGTGTTTGTTTTGGAATGGGGCATGACAAAAGTAGAATAAAATCGGTGCAAATTCACCTATGAGCGCAAATATAAATATATGTTGTGTGTGTTCTCCTTTCTCTCAGGGTTTCTTTTATGTTATGGAGGGTTACATTCTTAAATATAAACCTACTACAGTGGTACCTCAGGTTAAGTACTTAATTCGTTCCAGAGGTCCGTACTTAACCTGAAACTGTTCTTAACCTGAAGCACCCCTTTAGGTAATGGGGCCTCCTGCTGCTGCCGCGCCTCCGGAACACCATTTCTGTTCTCATCCTGAAGCAAAGTTCTTAACCTGAAGCACTATTTCTGGGTTAGCGGAGTCTGTAACCTGAAGCGTATGTAACCTGAAGCGTATGTAACCTGAGGCACCACTGTAATCTATTAAGATAACCAACAACACCCCTCTTTTGTGTCCAAAGTCCATGTTTGCCTGGGAAATGCCATAGCTCAGTGGTAGAACAATTGCCTTGCATGCAGAAGGTCCCAGCTTCACTCTCTGGCATCTCCAGGTAGGCTTAGCCCATACTGAGCTAGACAATACTGAGTTAGATGGCCCTGACTTGGAATAAGGCATCTTCCTCTTTTATGGAAGAGGTTCTTCTCAGTGGCGGCACTGAGGCTCCAGAACTCCTTCCTTAGGAAGGCCTGTCCCATGGACATCTGCTTCAGAATGAAGCCTTCGGCTGTTAGTAGCTTCATGGAAGTCTGCCTGATGGTTTATACTGTAGCTTCTGTTCTTCACTGGTTTTATCTGCTTCATAGAATCATAGAATCATAGAGTTGGAAGAGACCACAAGGGCCATCGAGTCCAACCCCCTGCCAAGCAGGAAACACCATCAGAGCACTCCTGACATATGGTTGTCAAGCCTCTGCTTAAAGACCTCCAAAGAAGGAGACTCCACCACACTCCTTGGCAGCAAATTCCACTGTCAAACAGCTCTTACTGTCAGGAAGTTCTTCCTAATGTTTAGGTGGAATCTTCTTTCTTGTAGTTTGGATCCATTGCTCCGTGTCCGCTTCTCTGGAGCAGCAGAAAACAACCTTTCTCCCTCCTCTATGTGACATCCTTTTATATATTTGAACATGGCTATCATATCACCCCTTAACCTCCTCTTCTCCAGGCTAAACATGCCCAGCTCCCTTAGCTGTTCCTCATAAGGCATCGTTTCCAGGCCTTTGACCATTTTGGTTGCTTCGTTTTGTTTCAATATGATGTTTCATTGTTTTGAACTTCTGAACTGCTAATATATATTTTTCTTTATATTTTACTGATAGCTTTTTTGAATGTTTACAAAACTGTGAAATAAATATTTTCTATCATTCAATTCATTATGTTGCCACTATTTACCTTTTTTTGTGCCTGAATGGTGATTTCTTTTCCTTCAAAATGTTAATGGTGTTCTTACTAGCCAAGGTGTGGGGAACCTCTGGCCTTCCAGATGTTGCTGAACTACTGTTGCCATTAAGCATGCTTGCTGGGGCTGATGGGAATTGTAGTTCAGCAACATCTAGAGGTCCAAATGTTCTCCATACCTGCACTAGCCAGTACTGTATAATAGGTAAAGGTAAAGGAACCCCTGACCATTAGGTCCAGTCGTGACCGACTCTGGGGTTGCGGCGCTCATCTCGCTCCATAGGCCGAGGGAGCCAGTGTACAGCTTCCGGGTCATGTGGCCAGGATGACTAAGCTGCTTCTGGCAAACCAGAGCAGCGCACAGAAACGCAGTTTACCTTCCCGCCAGAGCGGTACCTATTTATCTACTTGCACTTTGACGTGCTTTCGAACTGCTAGGTTGGCAGTTCGTACTGTAGGTTGGTACTGTATAATAATGGGAACCTATTCCTAACGATGAATGTCCCATCTTAGAGCACCACCGCTGGTCCTAGAGCAGCTGATGGTTGCCATTGTCCAGGACTGAGGCTCTTCCCTTGAGACCAAGTGGGCAGAAGGAGTTGCGGATAGGAGCCAACTGATGATAAAGATGCTAACTCAGAAGAAATCCTTACAGTGCTTGGCAGAGTCATTTCGTCCCTGGCAGCTGATGGTTTAAGAGAATGCAAGAAAGCACAGGAAATAACTGATGAGGCAACAGGTGTTACAGTGGTACCACGGGTTACATACGCTTCAGGTTACATACGCTTCAGGTTACAGACTCCGCTAACCCAGAAATATTACTTTGGGTTAAGAACTTTGCTTCAGGATGAGAACAGAAATCCTGCTCCGGCGGCACGGTGGCAGCAGGAGGCCCCATTAGCTAAAGTGGTGCTTCAGGTTAAGAACAGTTCCAGGTTAGGAACGGACCTCTGGAACGAATTAAGTACTTAACCTGAGGTACCACTGTATTTCCACCAGAGAGAGATCAGCGGTTGACTCTGTGTTGACTGTAGATACACATCTCACTGGCTATATGAAACTAGTCTTAGGGAACCAGTTGCATGTACCCAGCAGTGACTTAGGAGACAGATACATGTCTCACTTTGCTGCAGAAGATGCAGGCAGGCAGCTCAGATAAACATTAAAATGCAAGTGGATATGTGCATCCAGATCCCCATTAGGAATGGAGGTGGAAAGCTACTTCTGTGTACTGACCTCTCTTGTTGAAACAGGGCAGCAGACAGGAGGTTTCTTAATACTGCTGCAAGAAGAGTTTATTTACAGAGAGAGTGTGTGTGTTTTAAGCACTATCATGCACATTTCCAGACTGCCATGAACGGCACAAGACGCAAACTCTGCTAAGCTGCCATTTGAAATGCATCTTAGCTTTGGAGGGCAGAATGATGATGTCCACTTTAATTATTCCTCTCATTTGCCCAGCATGAACCTGTTTGAATATGCAGCTCATTATCCGATAAATATTGACTCTTAACCATGTGGTTTGGGATTAGCGTGCCACAAATTAATGCCACCCAGGAAGAAGCAAATCCAGTTGAGACAACTGGTGGGGGCAGAGGACCTGCTACTTACGCTATGTGTTAATGCAATTTCTTAATCCATTTATCATGGTAACGATTAGCCCGTGTTGCTTGATCTTAAGACATTGATTGCTTCTGGCAGAGAACAATGTACCAACAAGGTCGGAAGAAGGTAAACTTTTCATGTCAAGTCTTTTGCTGGCCTAGTTAAATTAGTGAGACAGTTGTTAACTACATCATTGCCTCTTGTATGAAGAACTCAGTGCTAGAAGATGGTACTTTTGTGTGTGTGTGTGTGTGTGTGTTTGTGTGTGTGTGTTTCCTCCACTTTACTATACCATCTGCAGACCCTCCAAGTGTCCCTATTTTCTAGGGACAGCCCCAGATTAACAGAAGCCATCCCAGTTTCTGATATGATCCTGGAATGTCCCGCTTTTCCTGAGGATGTCCCTATTTTCATCGGAGAAATGTTGGAGGGTATGCATCTGGGTACACAATGGTAGGGCCTATGTTCACACTGCAACCTCTAGTTCAGCAGTTATGTCTTCTCCAAATAATTCTTGCAACTGTATATTTGTGCGTTGAGAATTCTCTGTTACTATTACTAATTTCTGCTCCACACCCAAAATTACAATCCCCGTATTTTCCTGAAGAGAAAGAACGGCTACAAAAACAGCGTTAAGTCTGTGGCATAGAGTCAGAAGAGTTAGTTAATCAGAATGGGGGGGGGGTGGAATCCATTTTTATTCTTTAAATTTATGTCATGGTTATTTAAGCCAGTAATTTAAGGTTTGCTTGTATACCAGAGGTATCTGAGAACATTCACAATTCAAAGTGTTGGTGCTGATCTTTAAAGCCCTAAATGGCCTTGGCGCAGTATACCTGAAGGAGCATCTCCGCCCCATCATTCTGCCCAGACACTGAGGTCCAGCGCCAAGGGCCTTCTGGCGGTTCCCTCACTGCGAGAAGCCAAGTTACTGGGAACCAGGCAGAGGGCCTTCTTGGTGGTGGCTCCTGCCCTGTGGAACGCCCTCCCATCAGATGTCAAGGAAATAAACAACTATCTGAGTTTTAGAAGACATCTGAAGGTAGCCCTGTTTAGGGAAGTTTTTAACGTTTGATATTTTATCGTATTTTTTAATATTCTGTTGGGAGCCACCCAGAGTGGCTGGGAAAACTCAGCCCCAGATGGGTGGGGTATAAATAAATCATCATCATCACTGTGAAAAACCATGAACAGAGGCTGCATAACACTTTGGTTGTGCAACATCTTGTGAATTAAATCGCACACCGAAGGGAAGAAGCTGGTTCATTTCCCTTGTGCCTAGCTGCCTGATACCACGTCAGACCATTTGCCCACCTAGCTCAGTATGGGTGACACTGACTGGCAGCACCTCTCCAGGGTTTCAGACCTGGGAGCTTCTGCTGTCGGAATCTCTGCTGCAACTGAGCTGATAAAGCCCATCTTCCGGAATCGACTTCCAACGTGATTAATGACCTGAGCCTTTGATGAGGCTCCAGGCACATCCCCATTCAGCTGAGAATCAAAGCAGCACGCGGAAGTGATGAGATTTATGGCTACATCGCTGTGCTTTAATTTCTTACTATGCAGACAAAAAACACATCCTCTCTCTGTGAGAGCAGAGAGCAACTGAAAAACAAAGGAACAGGAAACCAATAACGTCACATCCGTCTCCCATCTCCCGTGAGACTTCCAACGGTAGGGAATGTGTGGAATGCAAAACAGAGCCTTGTGACTCCAAAGCACTGCACAGTGGCAAACAGAAACTAACATCTGCACGGAAAGCAAGTATTCTGCCACTCAGCTACGACGGCTTTTCCCCTTGTGGAAGATAAGGAAGTCTGGGTCTCATCAATGCCAGGATAGGAAGCAACATTGATCCACTATGTACGCACCTTGAACCCCATCATGAATTATGCTATTAATGCAACAAACAACTAGACTCGGTGGTTTCAAAGCTGCTGTCTTGCTAGGAGTTTTCCATGTTCTTCTCACTAGCCAGGAATGGGAAATCTATAAGAAGCATTTGTAAATATATTCCAGGAGCTGGCTTCTCTTTCCAACCAACGGCATCCTATATTTCACTGCTCATCCTCCTTTCAGCAGCGATACAACACAGTTCGCAAGCCCGTCATGACACGCAGTAAAATGCATATAAAAAGCCACAAAAAACAAGACAGATATATGCTACTACACGAGGGAGCTGTTAAGCGTTTCAGATGTGGTGGCTGAACCTTACAGCTAACGCTTAATTCTCTGCTTTCTAGTCTATCAACAAAGATTTAAGATAGAATGTCACATTTTGGGTTGATGCTGTCTCTTGGGAGCTGCTCACATATTAGGCAGAGAAGCGATTAGGCAGCTGCGCAAGGCTGCTTACAGATTTGCTAAGAGTAAGGAAACATATAATTATGCAGTTTGGCATTTTATGTAAAACAAATCATTTTCACTGCCATCTTTATGCCTCCTTCTCTTTTGAAAAACGAAGCCCCGTCCCATTTGCCAATTAATAACCTTCATTTTTTACACCTGAAGGAGAAACAGCCATAAAACTCCTTGAATAAACGGGGGTT